TGTAAACGAAGTGGGGTGGGCAGACCCTCACAGAAACATGAAGCGGTGAGTTCGTCTATCTCCTGGCTCGTCGCGGAATCTATCGTACCGTGGGCCCGGCGTTCTTCGTCCCTTATGGAGGCTCGGAGCTCCTTGACGCGGTCGATGTAATCTAGTATATGCTCTCCCGATTTGAGGTGCACAGCGGTCAATTCCCCGCGGTATTGCGCAACACTTTTTATTGAGCCGAAGGCACTATTTAATAAGTCTGACAGTTGTGTCACTGTGTCGCACGGTTCGTCGGCGACGGCTGAGTGAGCGTGGCCGCGCAACTTCGCTACCAGTAAACGCGTGAGGGGTCTCTCGAAATGAGGCGACAGGATGTCGCGCGCTTGCCTGCACGCTCCGAGGAATTTCGATAAAGGGATGTTATAACCATCAAAAATTGGAACGAACTCGGTCGCTTCGCGATAAGTTATCTTCGGCGCGAGAGGGAGTTCCGTGCCTGACTCATTCAGCTCGCCGAGAAGGGCGGGCGTTTCCGTGAACCGTTGCGGGAAGGCTGGGGCTTCGCGGTGGTAGGTCGCGCCGTGTTTCGATTTCGTGGCGAATGTTATTTAATTCAACACGCATTGCAGCAAGCATATTATTCATTTCGCGCACGGCGATTCGACTCTGTTCCGCTTCAGCGCAGTCTCTTCGTAGCGCGGCGCTCTCCGCCCGAATTTCCTGTCTTTCCCGTTGTAATGCGTCGGCGTCGGCTTGTAATTGTGCGGCGCGCTTGGCCATGTTGGCTTGCATGACATCGAATTCGCTGTCGGTATACTTAGTTTTAGGGGCACCCGGCCTGTCTACGGAGGTCATCTCTGCGTCGTCGTTCGCGAGCTTTCCCTTTTGAGCGCGCGTGGTCATGTCCGTTTCTTTCTCGCTCTTTACCGGTGTACGAAGCATAAGAAATAGTTACAGCGCGAATATGACGCGGGTCGGTAGGATGTGTCGAAATTTTCGATTCCTCCGATTAACGAATCCCACCGCTGTCACCAGAAATATGTTACGTCGCAGGCGGTGGCGAGGTTGCCAAGCAAATCACCACGTGGCACCGGACAAAGGCAGGAATACGCTCGCCTCTCGGCGACGCTGCCAGCGATCGAGCGGCAAATCGCCAGCAGCGGTTCGGAGGAGTTAAGGAATTAAGGAGTACGAAACCCTGATTATGTTACGTCAAAACCGCGGGGACCTCTCTGATAATCTCAGCGGCAAATTATTGAAAA